AAAGGAGCCGCCTTCAGATCTTCAACTCCTTGTTCATGATACTACTACACAGAATATAATTCTTTCCTCATCAGGACACTCGAGTTCTTCAACACCACTACACAGCATACCAAGATAAAGTAGAAGCTATTAGACTGCAGTGACATGAATACTTATCTAGTATTACAGTATCTCTGCTAAGCAATGCGGTAGATCCTCCATCTAGTAACTGAAGAAAAGAACAGAAAAGGGCTTTTATAACTTCCTACGTATCGGAGACAATGTAACCACTGCCTCCTCTGTGTCTATGAACTTTCTGCATCAAGACTCACAGCTCGTGGCTCCTTTATCCGAATCCAGCTTCCACGATTTAGGAGGGAATTTCAGCATGATGCTGCGACACATGAATGGCCAACTGAAGAAAAACAGGAGCTGTCTTTCAGCCATTTCATGTATCACAGTTCAAGGCTGATACTTCAGATGATTTTTTCCCCTCCACTTAAGCTTCAAGAACTTATATGTACAAACACCGTGAGAGCTGAATACCAAAAAAATACTCACACAAGTTTTTTTCGATCCTGGGACGCTTTGATGGAACTTCACCTCCTTTAGGTATTTTCCGACGTCTTAACTCCAAAGTTATGGGCTGCAGCGTCTGAGAACTTGGCTCTACATATGTAGACAGTGAACAAGAATAACTGGATACAAAGCTGAGAAACTCTTTAAAAGCCTCACAACTTAAAATACTGGACTTGCATAAATACAGTTTCACCTGACTCTCCAAAGTCTACGTATCAGCATTTAACCCTGCTGCAGACGTGTTTTATAATATACAAAGACTGGCTGCCTAAATCTAACCTCCGACCAAACCCCGAAGCTCCAAACCTGACTAACAAGTATGCTCTCAGCTGTCCTAACCAAGCCTGAACAAAAACCAGTTTAAATTTTTTTTAAAAAGTTTCTAGAGAATTAGTCTGTGAAAAAGCAAGATAATTTTCGTTCCTTTAGGTGAGTTTAGAAGGGTTCTGACAACCTAAACATTAACTTTAGCTACGTACCGGCTGGGGGTGTTATCGGCGGTCTTCCACGTTTTCGTTTTGTTTCTTTCACGTTTTCCTGCGGAGTCTTTACATTGTCATTCTCAGGCTTCTTCTCAACTTGTGTATCTACTGAATATTCCATATCATTCTCTGATATATTCTCTTTATCTTCTTTTCCATTCTTAGCTATATTCTTTTCCGAGACCTTGCCTTTTTCTGAGATGACTATCAATTTTCCTTCTTTATCAGGCTGCTTAACTCTTTTCTCAGTCTTTAATGTCTTTTCATCCTCGTCTTTCTTTGCATTACTTGTTGCTTTCCTCTGTTCTTTAAATTTCTCCCGCTTTTCAGAAGATGACAGAATTTCATTACCTCTTTCCTTAGGCTTAGCATTACCCACAATATTCTAGAATAAAAAGAATGACATACGAAAATTAACTTGCAATCCGTAAGTCCTCTCCCACCTTGCTATTTAGCAGGCTTGCATCCTTCTCCATTTTTTCAAATGGTAAAAGCGTATACTCTGTCACAACCCACAGATTAAAACTTGGAGGCACTTGAACTGTTGTTCAAGGACCGATGCAGCTTCACCAGGCCAGTGCAATAGATTCGTTCTTTTCACAACACAATGGCACAAGAGATTTGCTGTTCCTTCGCTTTCACGCGCGGGTGAGGTCCACACTAGCTTGCACAGCACAACTTACAGCTACTTGGGACACTGGAGGAGGAGTGGGAGTCGAGAGCAGAAAAGGGCAAACAGCTCAACCGCTTGGATGCAAAACCTGTCTGGCTTTCACCAGTGTCTCATTCAAAATAAACCAATATTTAGTTTCTCATTATCACTGCTACTGAAACGTGCCAAGTAAAGAGTCGTGTAAAGCAACTATAATCACCAAATTCATCAGGAAACACAAGTTAAAATGTACACATTTACATTTAGAAACAAAACTTTAGTCTTTCTGTAATTTGCGTTCAGCATGAGAGGACATGAAAATCCTTAGTAGTGCCTGGCCAGCAAGCTACTGATACAATATTCACCTGTAATCCCATCTCCCCATAGTTCTTATGACACCAAACCAGGAGGAACACCCCTATACCAACAGGTCACCTGCTGCTACCCAACGCCCTGTGGGTTTTGTGATCAGGTTTCACATAAAAACTGCCTGGGGGGGAAGCTGATTTTGGGTTTTCAACCCTTCCTGCTACAGGCTGCTCCGAAACTGCTCTGATGAACAGAAACCTTCTAGCTTTGTGCCTGGATTAGTAATTTATATGTGGTCGTGTGTCAGCACTGCCTTTGGTTGAACTAACTTCCCTCTTCCTGTTGCCTAATAATCTGAAGCATCAAACAGCAATAATGCTCCCTTCCAGCCATAGTTCTACAAGGCAAAACAACTTCAACTTTGAACAAGGGTCAGAGGACAAGAAAGACTGAACTCTTGACACCTCTTCAGGGAAAGCAAGCAGAACAGCTAACCAGAGTTCCACAAAATTCTGAGAATACGATAAGGCTCACTATCTCCTTGTGCTACACTACGTCTTGCCTCTTCCCACCCCAATCTTCCTGTCTATAGGTGGCTTACAGAAAGTGATAGCTTTTCACATTGCCATTTTCAGACCACAGTCTGAAGAATCACAGAATGGTTGGGGTTAGAAGGGACCTCTGGGGATCACCCAGTCCAACCCCCTGCGCCCAAGCAGGGTCACCTACAGCAGGACCGCATCCAGGTGGGTTTTGAATATTTCCACAGAAAGAGACTCCACAGCCTCCCTGGGCAGCCTGGGCCAGGGCTCCAGCACCCTCAGAGGGAAGAAGTTCTTCCTCGGGTTCAGCTGGAGCTTCCTCTGCTTCAGTTTGTGCCCGTTGCCCCTTGTCCTGTCGCTGGGCACCACTGGAAAGAGTCTGGCCCCGTCCCCCTGACAGGTATTTGTAGGCATTCGTAAGGTCCCCTCTCAGCCTTCTCTTCTCCAGGCTGAACAAGCCCAGCTCCCTCAGCCTTTCCTCGTAGGAGAGATGCTCCAGTCCCCTCCATCTTCACAGCCCTCCACTGGACTCTCTCCAGTAGCTCCTCATCCTTCTTGAAGTGGGGAGCCCAGAACTGGACACAGTACTCCAGATGGGGCCTCACCAGGGCCATGTAGAAGGGGAGGAGAACCTCCCTCAACCTGCTGGCCACAACCCTCCTCATGCATCCCAAGATCCCATTGGCCTTCTTGGCAGCCAGGGCACACTGCTGGCTCATGGTCAACCTGTCGTCCACCAGGATACACTGCTCCCTCTCCACAGAGCTGCTCTCCAGCAGGTCAGCCCCAGCCTGTACTGGTGCATGGGGTTATTTCTCCCCAGGCATGGAAGCCTGCACCTGCCCTTATTGAACTTCATCAGGTTCCCCTCCAGTCTGTCCAGGTCTTGGTGAATGGCAGCACAGCCTGCCAGTGCATCCACCACTCCTCCCAGTTTTGTGTCATCAGCAGACTTGTGAGGGTACATTCTAACTCTTCATCCAGGTCATTGATGAAGAAGTTGAACATGACTGGGCCAAGTACTGACCCAGTGGAACACCACTAGTTACCGGCCTCCAACTAGACTCAGCGCCGCTGATGACAACCCTCTGAGCTCTGCCATTCAGCCAGTTCTCAATCCACCTCACTGACCATTCATCCAGCCCACACTTCCTGAGCTTCCCTATAAGGATGTTACGGGAGACGTTGTCAGAAGCCTTGCTGAAGTCTATGTAGATAACATCCACTGCTCTCCCCTCATCCACCGAGCCAGTCATGCAATCATAGGCGGCTATCAGATTTGTCAAGTACGATTTCCCCTTGGTGAATCCATGTTGACTACTCCTGATAACCTTCTTTTCCTCCACCTGCTTAGAGATGACATCCACAATGAGCTGCTCCATGGCAGGCATGGAGTTGAGGCTGACCAGCCTGCAGTTCCCTGGATCCTCCTTCTTGCCCTTTTTGAAGACTGGAGTGACACTGGCTTTCCTGCAGTCCTCAGGCACTTCTGTTCTCCAGGATCTTTCAAAGACTACAGGGAGTGACTCAGCAATGACACCTGTCAGCTCCCTCAGCACTCATGAGTGCATCCCATCAGGGCCCATGGGTTTGTGGGTGTCCAGTTTGCTTAAATGATCCTCCTCGACCAAGAGAAGGTCTTCCTTTCTCCAGGCTTTCTCTCTTACATCCAAGGACTGGGACTCCCAAGGGCCGGCCTTAGCAGTAGAGACTGAAGCAAAGCAGCCGTTCAGTAACTCCGCTGCCTCTGTATCCTCCATCACCAGGGTACCCACCTCATTCAGCAGTGGCCCCACATTTTCCCCAGTCTTCCATCTGCTACTGATGTACCTGAAGCAGCCCTTCTTGTTGTCTTTGACATTTCTTGCCAGATATAATTCTGGGTGGCTCTCAGCCTTCCTCGTTGCCTCCATGTATGTTCTGACAACGTTCCCGTATTCCTCTCAAGTGGTCTGTCCCTCTTGCCACATTCTGTAGACCCTTCTCCTCCATTTGAGTTTCACTAGAAGCTCCTTGCCCATCCATGCAGTCTCCTGCTTCCTTTGCTTGATTTCTTACTCATGTGGATGCACCAATCCCGACCATGAAGGAAGTGATGCTTGAACAGTGACCATCTCTCTTGGACTGTCCTACCTTCTTGAGCCCTAACCCATGGGATTCCTCTAAGCAGGTCCTTGAAGAGACCAAACTTAGCTCTCCTGAAGTCCAAGGCTGTGATACTACTTATTACCGTGCTTCCTCCATGCAGGATCCTGAACTCCATCTCACTGTCACTGCAGCCAAGGCTGCTCCCAACCCCAAGAAATAAACTTGATGCAATAAAATGGTTAATGTGCCATCTGCTCCACCCTCTATGATATTATTTCAACCATACTTGGCACAGAGGTGATAAAAAAATCACTTTTTAAAAATGTGAGATCAAATTGCTGCATATTTCACGAGAACAGCTAGGCAAAGGGAAAGTCTTTAACATTCTTACATGTCTGAGTATCACTTCTACCAAACACCATAAAATCTGTCTTCCGTAAAATCTTTTAAGCGCCACAGCTATGGGAGAAGCCTCAGTAGAAACTCAAACGTTAGTAAACACACCTCAAAAAGCCAACGCTCAGACATTAGCTTTCATCAGTTGTGCTGCTCACAGAACCATTCGATTTGAATCAAGTATGTGGTACTGGAACATACATGAACCATCTTAATCAAATTATTCTTAAGAAACTAAACCATAAATACAATATGTCTGAATTACCCCTCGATGTTACTGAACTCTTAAGAGTTGCATATCCTTGCATAAGCACATTTACACTGTGCGGGTCGTTAGCATTCATCACTGTTCAGTACGGCACGTTCTGCCCCCTACACAGGGCCACTAAAGAAACCATGACCAGCTTATGTTGCTCCCTTCAGAAATAAGGTGGTTTGGGTTTTTTTGTTTGTTTGTTAAGAACAGCTAAGATGAGAGCCATGTGTGTCTTCACAGCTGCAGACTCTCCTACTGACAACAGAAAGACAACACTTTCCTTCCACCGCCTGCATGCTGCTACAGTAGTGCTGTATCTGCATCCACGCCTCAGGTGACTTACATTCACAACAATCTCCAGCTCTCCAGTGGCACAAGTATTTTTTTAAACTTTACTTTTGACTGTGTAAACAGAGCTCACCAAAACACTCTCCCACTATGCTTTTCTGTGCTAAAAGACAGAACAAAAGGTTCTAGCATAACCTCTCTCTTTGGTTAAGAGAAATCTTCCCAGCCAATAGTGGAAGGGAGAAGAAAACTTAAACTCCTTCCAAAACCTACCCAAAGCCAAGTGGAAACATGAAACTCCCTGAAGGAGAGAAAACACTTTGCCTTTCTTATGCAGAATATTTCTTAAGACTGTTCATGTATTTAAGGTTAAATATGGTAGAAATATTTCTTATGGCAATGAAAATTTTTCAAGTAGTTCCCTTGTGAGTATTCGTCACTCTCAACCAGGCACGATTATTACCATTTGAAAGCAATTCAGAGCACTTTGTGGCAAATCTGAAATACTCTTCCCTCCCAGCGTGGCAGATGCACAAACTCGGAGACCTCCAAGGAATGGCATGCCCCTTCACAATGGTGACCCACTTAAATTGTACCCATTAATATTCATTATTGGAATCTGTATTTAAGACTTGTGTTTGGGGGAGGGATTCAATTTCTTTGTTCAAACTTAAAGTTCCAGAAAACTAAAAGCAGAAGGCTTGACTAAAAACACCGGCTACAACTACCACACATGAATGTGTGGCAAGATTTCAAAACCATTCCTGTAATGAAAATTATTCTGAAGCAGGTACTTAAGAAGTTTCAACCAAGTTACATAGGACTAGAACTTCTCAGCCTTTACGACAAAGTGCCAGCACTGAGCAGGACGAAAATTTGTTTGTTTGTTTTAGAATAGCTCACTAATATTTTCCATCACAAGATGAAGGTTGAACCCTGCAGGTGGAGGGTTGGCACAATAACCAAACCACAGCAGCAGAACATGATTTAGTAAAAAAGCTTATATCCTCAAAGTTGTGAGGTGAAAGATTACTAGACAGCTTCCCTAAGTCTCAAGACAATCAAGTAGTTTACTCTGGGAAAGAACAGATAGTTCCCATCCCTTAATTTTGAAGATGCATTTATTTAAACTAATCTCAAACAGGTGAAATACCAAAGTGTGTTTTAACAACCTACTGCTAGCTTTAGTCTGTAAGCTCTGAATCTTCCAATTAATTTTAGAAAACTTTTTATTTATATGCCTGTGACTTCTTAGGTTCAAGAAGTGTATTCATGAGAACTTGAACCTGAGAGCTTTGCAAATCATAAAATCAAGATTTGCATAACCTTTTCATTTTAATGGATTTTCTTTCAGACATATTGTATGTTAGCAATAGCGATATTTCATTCATTTAATATTTTCTAGTTCATCAGATCTAGAAAACGCTAGTAGCACAAACACATTACTTACCTGATCTTTGGAAAAAGCTTTGACATGAATGTTTTTGACAGTCTGAACTACACCATCATAAAACTTCACAGTATATGTACCTAAAATTTGAAAATAAAGCATAAGAGTTTAAAGATCAGAAGTTATTTAACAGAACAACTGCTAACAGCTCCAATACTCTAGCTGCATATTTAGCTCTAGATAAAAGCTGACTTATCTGTGGTGTTAGAAACTTCAACAGCAGAGGTCTTATCACTGGCCAGGTAAGGAATAAACAGTGAAATTACCAAAAATAATTATGGTAAGCATAGAGGTGCCTGTCTAAGCTTAAGAGTTGCTCCTTAGATATAATTTCCTTACCAAACCCCAAAATACTTTTGGTGGAATACTCCAACAGAGAATTACACAGACTTTTTCTCCTGGATCACGACATATAGTCAACCTAAAGAAAGCACAGCACAAGTCCAGGAACCTTCATGGTTACTTACTGACATTCACAACGCATGGCTGTTCTTTTTTCTGTCCCCGTTCCCTGCCCCCCCCAACTTCTAAAGGGTTTTCGCAGCTCTGACACTAATATTACTGTGGTTACATGCACCTCTTGGCAATAAACTTAAGAGCAAACCACTTTTCCCAAACACACACTTAAAGCAATTACTGACTGCATACGTCAGCAGAAAGTTCTTTTATCTCATGAAAGGGATCAAAGGTTAAGTTAACAAAGTTGATGGCAGATTAAAGCATAGAACTGAAAATGAAAATTTTCCCGCTTGCTTTCTGCCTGCCGTACTCTCTCCATCTACGCAAAACAGAAATGCATCACTAGCACGCACGACAACACCAAAAGTGACTCCTTACCATCTTTGTTAACAGAAGTAACTTTGGCTGGATAGAAGCGACAGTCAGACCAGCATGCCAATACCTGATCATTTATATGAAATCCCTACAAGACAGTAGTTAAAGTGTTTTCATCTGAGAATTACTGAAACATACAACTTCATTAAAACATCACAATGATTAGTCTTCCAACATCTAAAATAAACCATACAACTTATACAGGAGCCAATACAGCAATAGTGAAGCATTTTAATGGTCATAATTATACAACTGCACATTGAACTGTTACGTACTCAAGTGTCCTATTTTCTACTTACTGCACAACCTTCTTCCTCATGTAATCCTTCTTTTCTTAACTGTATCTTCTCTAAAGGACGTAAATACGGACTGTCCCAACAAAACCATTCATCATATCTATGGTTCCAGCGTTTGAAATGGATAAGTACTTTTCCTTCTTCGTAATCAATTTCTTCAATGTGAGCTGGATACCTGGTCAAAAGGTAGATTAACATATTTCAATTAAGAATACGGCAAGCTGTCTCAATTAACTACAGTACAAAATGTTACACAAATGGGGCCTTCTGCATGATCAAAAGCAAAATATCTGAAGATCTGGTTGATCAGGTGTGATGAGAAGCCAACCCACTATACCTAACAACCTTCAGTTTCTACGATCATAGTATTATTTGATCTATTGCTTGTATAAGTCATAAAGATGCTACAAAACAACTAAGAGCTCAGCACAGGACGAACAGCAAAGGCAAGCACTGGCTGCAGGCAGAGCAGACAAACTAAGGAGTTCTTAGTCTGGTGTGGAGAAAATTGTAACTAGAGATAAAAAAAAGGCAGAAAAACCTTCCTTATCCCTAGAGATTTCACATATACACAAAAAATGACAGCCTCAGCTCCCTCTTGATAAGAGTAACACCTGGAGGTCAATACACTCACTTCCCTCGGAGATATCCATCAACAGGCATCACGAATCATCTTACCAAGGTAACAGCAGAAGTCTAGCAGGCACGCTAAACCTAGTTTAAGTTCTAGATTCTCTAAGTCCAATTTCATCTGCAAAGTCCTGGGACTTTGAAATAAAAATATCTCAGTATATCAGAAGTACAGGAATCTGAGCAGAGTTAAATCCAGTTGTTTCTAATCAGGAAGACCTTATAAACTATGCATTTCTTTAATTGCATTGGTAATTTGTAACTTCAGCAAGTATTTCAGAATCATAGCATATTTCACTATCCCAGTTGAAGATAACATCCCAAGTATCGCTGTTTTCCCCTCCACAATAATAGTGCCAGGAGAAAAGTCTTCACTTCTCAGTGTTTTCAGTTATTTGTGGAAGAAATGCAAGGCCCCACTGAATTCCTAAACAAAAGGCCTGAAGAAAAAAAACCCCACACCGAAATCCGCAAGTATTCTTTACCTGATAAGTCACACTTGAAAAGATAGAAGGGGCAGAAAGAAACAGCATCTCCAAAAGATCAAGCCTGATGATAAAAAGAAAACCTAGACACTTCAGAATGAAGACTTCAATGTAACAGATTACCATTTTACAGTCCTACACAGGTTAAAAGCTACCTACAACTGAAATCCTTCAGCATATCTTAGACACGTCGAGTCATGACTTCTTCAAAAAAAGCCACAAGCAGGCCTCACTAGAGACTTACACTGCAGCCACGGACTGAGGCCCTGCCCAGCACTCGATGCCACATGCCTAAAGCTACGCCATTAGTTCATCCCAATATATTACCAAAACACAAGCGGGAAAGTCTGCAGAGGGGAGCAGGACAAATGGCACGGGCATCTCTAACTGGTTACCAGCTTCCTAGGAAGTAAGTAACTTTCTTCATGTGACAGTCAATGTATTTCATATTTGGGTAACCCCGAGCACTGCCCTGCACAGGTTCATGAGGGGGGAATATTCAAAGTCTGTCCACATATAACAACATAGTTCTATTAAATGTACTTTATTCTTCACTATCTCAGCAACTGCCTATCACTAAGTACAGGTAATGACAAAAATCAGCATCCAGTTCCCTGCAAAGTGCAGTAAAAACAGGGGCACGAATTCCCAGGTCCTCTCAACAAGAGACTAGCCAGGACACTTTACCATCAAGACGGCAACAGGCCTGGAGCTTATCCAGATTCTCCAAGATCGAGAGGGAAGCTGATAAAAATGACAGAGCACTGGTTCAACACTAAGCTAAAAATCCAGTCCATGCAGATAACCATCTCTGGTCAACAGCATCTCCAGACTCAATCCACTAACTTTCTCCTACTGAGAAGAGACAAGCCCAAGTGACAAGAGCCAACTAACTCTCTGACGCAAGACTGTTCCCTGCTTCATACCCAGTAAAAGCAGGAACCTTCTCCACCAGCAGAACCATCATCCCAGAACCATGCACCAGTATCATCTGCACCTATCCCACCTCACCTTCTTAAGACTCTCTGATGGGGAAGAGATGCTGATTTATCATCAAGAACGGCAAAAAATACACCTGACAATGAGACCAAATTTCAGGCTGGTTGAGAGCCAGTGTGGCTGAACTGGAGCTCTCAGCCAGCTCCTGGATAACGTGCTGCAGTATCTGAAGAAATCATCTTTTTCTGAAGCAACCAAGAGCAGCAAACATGTTCAGTGCTCTTGACTGGAACAGCAAACATATGACAAGCTGTGCTAGACCTATCCGCAAACTCTTGACAGCCCCCACCTTGGCACCATCTTCGTTTCAGATGCAAACCACAGTGTGGCAACTTCGAAAGGTTCATAGGTTCTCAACAGCTCTGAGCACGACACATTGACAGCACAAGCTTCCTGCCTCCAACATGCATCCGCAGCCTTCAAAGCACTGAGCAAGCATGGAGAGGAGGCATCAGTCCTCACAGATCTATACAGCAGAGAAGTAATACAGCATATCCATACACATGCACCAAAAAGCCTCTGGACACACCAAGGGGTAGAGATAATTAAAAAGAAATTCAGACTTCTTTATCAAGAAAACATACTATGAGAGGACACACAAAGTGAAGGGCCAAGAGCTGAAGCCTGGCTAAGGTCTGAAAAATAAGAGTGCAGCTGCCACGTGTCCAGGGATGGTCCAATATATCCTCCCCCAGACCACAAAGGAAGCAGGCAGCTGATTCCATGGGTCTTCGAGACAGCTAACTGATCCTGGGTAAGAAATCCCCAGCTGGTACCGATTTGAATACTTGTGTAACACACTAAGCAAAAAAAGCTGAAGTCACACGCAACTTCTTGCAATATATTGGGAGGCCAAAACAAGTAGTTTTACAGCTCATTTCAAAAGGAATTATGAGCTTTTGCCTTTCAAGGCCTTATGCACCAGCTAAACAGTAAGGGAAAACCTCCAAGATGCCTAAACTGCTGGCATTAGTTTTGTTAACAGCCCAAGTGACAATCAAAAGCTCAAACAGCGTAACTCTCAACAGACAGGGGTTAGCAATGACTGGCAACTTCAGAACACTGCTGTCAGAGCACAGTAAACAATACGAAAAGGGGTTTATTGTAGACACAAATGTAAAACCATCCTCTTCTGTGACGAGGAAAATATCTGGAAATCCAGAATCAGTGCTGACTGAAGGAGTTCTTCTCTTTCAGTCCTTGACTAGTTTGTCTCCCTTCTCATTTCCTATACACCAAAATAGATTTGCTGTACACTCCCCCTCTCTCAGAGGTAGGAAGGGACAAGCTTACTGCAGTCAAAGCAATGCTGAGAGGAAAGGAAGTGTCCAGAAGAACCACTGTTCTGAAGGATAACAGCTACAGGGTTTCATCTTTTCAGTACTGAGACAAGTCCTGACAGCATGAGCAACAGAACTCATGAGACTGCCAATCTCTACCATAACAAGGTACACAATACCCTAACAATACTAGTCTTGTCCTCAATACCCAGAATCAGAAGTCTCTTCATATCCATTTTACTTCCACAACAGACAGAAGAACTTGAAAAAGGTGTCATTACAAGAAGGTAACACAAGAGGTGTCATCATTTGCCTACCGCAGGTGTCCGGTAGAGAGTCATCCTCTTTTCGACAGGACAGGATGTCTGCAGCTAGCCAGTACTGACGAGTTTAATGATCTAACACGAAGATTTCCAACAACTCAATTCAGCCAGACGTACGTCATTACAGCTAGCCTCTCCGGGCTCTCTCCATTTAGGACTGTGTTACTGGAGCAGCCCCACTATCCCATCCTCTGAACTCCAGCACCGTGCACCAAGAGACGTTTCCGCGTGCACGGAGGCACTGCTTGATGGCCAGAGCTCTCCTCCTTTGGTGCTCTGAGGTCAGACACTGCCACCAGCCTTCATGACAGCTTTCATGCATTAACAGGCTCTAAGACCTAAGCCCAGTACTAAAAGTACTAACCCTGGAGTGTCAGTCTAGGAGGTGACAAGACAACTGCACCAGGAATTGAAGCACACTAACACATTATGACTCCAGATACAGCAAAGCAACCTTTGATAAGAGCTCTAAAGGTGCAAAATTCACTTTGCACTTTGGCAGAGAGCAGACTCTGCATTGACTACTCTGCTGGCACACGTAAGTTTTTATCCTCTTCAGTAGGGTTGCCATCACATCCAAACACCCCAAAAGTCCTGAACTAGCATTTCAGGGCACAAGCCACTGTCATGAAAGGCTGACAAATGGGGCTCTAGGATGAAACAGTTCCCAAAGCACTACTGTCATTTGAGAAGCAATAGTGACTCATGAATTGACTGGTGTGTTCGGTACTGAGCACAGGAGTCAAAGCCAGCCCTCCAATCAAACAAGAGGTTTCTGCTGATGTTCAAGTGTCAACACTGCAAAGTACACAAGAAAAGCTTGGACCTCTGAAGGTCTAGCACCGGGAAAAGCAAGTATCAGCAAATGGAAAGTTTCGTATCCACATAAAAGGAGAGCATTGTAACCACACCATGTGTGGTAGTAGCAGGGGAAGAGAGAAACCTGCTGTCCTCTACAAACCCACACCTGGGGAGGTGCGCCAGCCTGTTGCCACCAGCACTGCCCAAAGAAAATAAGCTGCCAGCTCTTACAAATTTTGGTTCACAAACGCTGGAAACAGAAATACATGCAGATCACCAGTCAAGGAAACACGGACTTTCTGACCCAGGTTTCAAAAGCTTAGCAAGCAAAAGAAAAATTTCAGAACTGGCGAGTTAATGACTAAGTTGCAAGATCAAAGTGTTGCAAAACACTGGGCATAAGGCAGGTCGTTTAAGATCAAGTTATTTTAGAAAACAACAGGGCTTGGTTTTGGACATGCAGCAGATCCAAAACTCAAATTTAAGCCAAAGGACTGTGGGAAGTACAGCAGGTGTTGAATTTCCCCTCCAAAGTTTTCCCACGCGAGAGCTGTGTACTCCCATACTTTTGAGACACTGTTGTTGTCCAAACATGTCAGAAGGATAACAGTCATGGACACAAATTCTTAGCCTTACTCAAACACCATCTATACTAAACTGCATCTTTAATAAGTTTACATTACAGACAGGCTAACAAATATCATTTTTGTAGGCATGACTATCTTCTTGCTGTCTAAACAATGCTCAAGAATACAAAAGATGTATGCAGTTTCAGATCTAAATCCTACCTACGCAATTCTTGCTTACACAGGAAAGTCAACATAACATGCAAGTATGTTTTAATGTTTGTACTTCATATTCTTTCCACGAAGAGCTATGCTTATTCTTTTTCACAATTCCAAACCCCTTGTACCTGAAAAGCAGAGAAATACTCTGCATGGAACCAAGATGTTTTGGAACAAGCCCGCCGTGTCTAAGGCAGTGCTCCATCCTTCCGCGATGTCCAGATGGTTTTCAATACTGACTTGGGCACGCTTAACCTGCCAGCAGGTTCCAGAGCCTAAAGCACAATCATGGCTAACCCACATAAACTCTAAAATAAATGTCAACTATAGCTGACTTCAGGAGAGAGAAGGTATCTTCAGCAACTAAAACAACCCAATTAATTCCTGTATTTAAGAAGTCTCTCTCTCCAACAGTTTTCATTGTATGCCTCATTCACTAAGCATTATATGCAAGGCTAATTTTTGAGCTGACATCCTAAAACAAACAGTTAGAAGGCTCAAAGTCAGCCCAAGTAACTTTCAGGCCCTTTCCCCCCCTTCCTACTGCAGTGGTTAGTCAAGAAAAGCGTTCTTCCTCACAGCCGAAGTCTGCAAGGCAGGCTCCAGAGCAGACTTCTCAGCAAGCAGTGAACTTCCCTGCCCAGTTCTTCACGGCCAAAGCTGACCATCCTGACAGGAGCACAGACGGTAACCATTTCAATCAGACTTTAAAGCCCACAAATTCACAACAGCAATGAGAACGCCAGTAGTGAGGAACCACCTCAGGTATTCTGTACGGCAAAGCATCTATCTCTACATAATGTCTGCTCCCAATCTCTGTATAGCACAGAATTTAAAGTGTGAATTCAGGCGTACCAGCGCCTGCAGTCTCACTGATTTATGTGCAGTCCTATTTCCCAGACACAGACAGCACCAGTACACTTCTTTTTAAGGGCCAGCACAACATATCAGCATCTATCGCCCATTTCAACCACTGGTATATAAACTTTTATAAATTAACTACTTTCCTACAACCAATGGCCAGGACTAAATATTGTATCAATACAAAATGTTTAAGATATTAAAGACTTAGAGTTAACATAATATGAATGGTTTTAAAAAAATACCAGTTTTTTAATCTGTCACGGGCTTCCAACTGGGCTCCCACCTCAAAGTTGATCCCTCTTCTATTCGGAGGATGTTTTGTCATTTTGTAATATCAACACTGCTGATTTTATTCCCCTGAAAAATGCAATTAAATATCAATCACTAATCAACACATATACAATATAAGCTTATGCACCATAATCCCCAAAAGCTAGATATTAAGGGACCTCTGTATGTTTGTTTGCAGAATGTAATGGGGCCAATTATCTCAAACTAGGGTTCCCAAGCGACAGTGCGCAGAATCATTCAAAAAATGCGTTCAGAGGGGTAGCTACCGGACCATGGAAGACTGAAGCTCAACCTCTGCCCATCAGTCCAAGTTCCAGGTCAATTAAGAACTCTGCAACGGAATGTTTATTCACTACCAAGACAGACGCTTCATGACGCGCTCTCCCCCCTCCCGGTTTTGATGAAAACAAGGAATCCAGCCAACAGGAAGCGGGCAAAACCAAACGCAGCAACCATCTTACAACAGCTACCATGCTAGGGAAGCACTCGAGAGCACTACCTCACCTCATCGCTACTAATGCAACAGAGCTCAAAGACTTTAGAAATACGTAGTTTCTTCAACCAATTTTAGAAGACTGTCTGTCTGCTTGCGTATTTGCAGTGCTTTCTTCCCACTTCTCCACCATTTTAACCAGAAAATAAAAATAGTCTTCATTAAGACATGTTTCCAACAGGTACTATAAAGGTTTAAGAAATCTTGCCAAAGCAGTTTCTCTCAAGGTACATTTAGTGGAAAGCCTGATCAGGAGTTACTTTCCCCAGATTTTTGTCAGTCGTTTCCCACAATTATAAGAAGCAAGTTGCGATCCATTCCTGTGGTCCTCAAGCTCACAAGATCCAAAAATACGAATAAGTCTTATTCAATACTGTCCTTCTTACAGTAAGGCTATATCTTCAAGATTCAATTAAATATGTATAAAATGGATGTGAGTTAAAAACACCTTCTAGTCTCACTACAAGAAGAAGGAGACATGCACTGGCAACAGGAATAAGCAGCAGTGCCTCGGTTCATACAATGCATAAACAAGAATGATATCCACTGAGCTGCATCTGTAAAAGGATTAACAGTATTGTGTTAGAAACTAATCTAAGTTCAACCGTGGTTCAGAAATCAAAGATCTTTAGGAAAGTCATAAATCTTCTCTCACAGGGAAAAGCTACTCCATCTACAAACTTTTCAAACCAGGCCATTTGCCAAGGGCCGGCCATGGAGGCACCACCTCGAGGATCATAACCACACCACAAAGAAGCTTCTCTGCCAGAAGATGATCTGCTGTCTTCCTCTAAAGCACTGCTTTCAGACTCCTCTTCACTACCGTGAAAGCAGCCTGCAATGGG